TAGTGTAAATTCTAGTTTGTTCAAGGCATGACCCCTGGGATAGGGTGGGGCCAAATAGGGTATCAAAGTTTATCATAGAATACATATAGGAAAAATCTTTAAAAATATTTTTCACAAGAACCACTTGGCCAGGAAAGATGAAACACATGTGGAAGCATCCTCTGGTAGTGAAGATTCAAATTTGTTCAAATCATAACCCCCAGGGGAAGGATGGGGCCACAATGGGGTATCAAGGATTAACATAGGAATGCGTAGGAAAATTCTTTTTAAAAAAACTTCCTTTCATGAACTACTAGGCCATAAAAGATGAAGTTCATATGGAAGCATCCTCATGTAGTGTAGATTCAAGTTTGTTCAAGGCATGATCTCTGGGGTAGGGGGTGTCACAATGGGGTATCGAAGTTTAACATGGGAATACATACAGGGAAAATCTTTAAAAATCTCTTCAAGAACCACTTGGTCAGGAAAGATGAAAAACATGTGGAAGCATCCTTTGGTAGTGAGGATTCAAATTTGTTAAAATCATGACCTCCGAGGGTAGGGTGGGGTCACCATTGGGTATGAAAGATTAGCAAAGGAATTCATGAGAAAAATCTTTTTCTCAAGAACAGCAAATCCACTATTGGTCATAATTATATGGAAGCATCGTCTGTCAATTTAGATTTATGTTTGTTCAAATCATGACCCCGGGGGGAAGGATGGGGGCACATTGGGGAATGAAAATTTTACAAAGGAATACATAGGGAAAATCTTTAAAAATCTTCTCAGGAACAACAATGCCATGGTTGGTCATAGTTATGTGGAAGCATCCTCAATATTGTAAATTCAAATAGTGTTTGTTCAAATCATGACCCGGAGCAAGGGTGGAGCCATAATGGGTGATTGAATTAGAATTGTATAGAAAATATCTTTAAAATTCTTTTTCTCAAGAACAGCAAAGCCATGACTGGACATAGTTTTATGGAAACATCCAAGTTTTTCCAAATCTTGATCCTGGGGGAAGAGTGGGGCCACAATGGTGAACAAGGTTTTACGTAGGAATACATGGAAAAATTGTTAAATTTCTTCATAAAAACAACAAAGTCATGATTGATCAAAACATAAAAGCATCAAAAAGGTAATGTAAGCTTAAATTTGTTCACATTGTGACAATTGGGAGAATAGAGGAGCCATTAGAGTGGATCATAACAAAGGAATATAAAGACTTTATTAATAATAATTTTCATCTTATAAACAACAAAGGCATTATGTGTCATATTAATTCAACAGCATCCTTAAGAATTGTAGATTTAAGTTTGTTCAAATACCCCCTCCCCTGAACCCAATTTTCCTTTCTTTTGTAAGGAGTATAAAGATGAGGGCTTGGCAGAGTATTTGCTGGACCAAACTAAAACCAAGTTCTTCCAAAATACATTCATGATAATCAGTCTTGCAAACAAAAGATAAAGATATATTGTTCAGAGTATTGTCTGTTGAAAGCATTGCATACTGCTCTCTCGCTTTTTCATCACTTCAGGTTAAGTAAAAACGGAAGGGCAGTTGGTCCCATTTTGCCCTTTAGTTTTATAAGACGAATTTTTAATATACTTCTAAAACACTTAATCCACTCTGACAAAGTGTTCAGGACTTCCTGGAGACATTGCAATATCACGTCGATAAATCAATTTTTGTAAACAAGTGAAACATATTCTTTAAAAAAATCAACATCATTTTATAAACGAAGTGGGTGTCAGAAAAAGAATCGACAAACATCAATTTGCTGTACCAGGATGAACTCGAACCTTAAGATATTTGTTCAGAAATTAAAAAATTAAATAAATAGACAGCCGATTGCATTTTTACCCTGACCTACAGTGTATTGAATAAAGCCATTTTACATCAGTCTGGAAAAAAAGCAGATTTTTTCAATTTGATTTCGTGAACGGGTTTTTACCATACTGCAAAAAGGGGATATGGTCACCCAGCCTAAAATTTAGAAATCCCATTTAGAAGTCGGTCTGGTGTTATATATCTTAGTTTATATTTCCTCAAATTAAAACTCTCGTTTTACTCGTTTACCATAAATCAAGGCAAAATCTATTCATCTGCACCATAATATACCACACGTAATATCTATTCAATTGGACCTTGAAGGGCCCCGGGACCAGTTTATTATCGTATGCACGTGCTAATGCAGAATTAATTCATTTTATTAGAGAATGTACAAACTAAATCAAGTTACTAGAAATCATTTAATTGCAGAGAGAATGTCCCATTAATTTAAAACGAGGTATTAAATGCAGTTTAATTTAAAAAAATGAAATGTAAAATCTTCAAAGCATTTTAAACCAAGAAATAAAAACAATGTTATCGGTATAAAATGTAGTTCATGTTTTAATTTAATGTATTAAAATCGTGTAGAAGTTTGATATTTTCTCAGCTTAAATCTTCTTTTTCACAGTGTTACCTTTTCTTTGTCTTATTATTTATTTACATGTATTTATCTATTTATTTCGTTATCTAGGGTACATGTCATAGGTCCTTTACAACCGAGTAAAGGGAAGGTAGTACCGGGTTTAAACATGTATTTGTACATTGTATAGACGAGATAAACAGTTCCATTTTCCTCAGTTCAGATGTGTTCGTTTACCTATGACTACCTATTACTATTGTAAAGTTTTTAAAAAATATATCTAATTCTAATGCATTGGATCACAGGCGGTGTTCCTTTCAATCCTGCATTAAATACACATAAGAAATTGTCACGACTCACTGGATCTCTAAAGCACACCCTGCTATATTATTTATCACTCCTAGGTACTGGGATAATACAATCTAATTAATAATTATCCCTCGCGTTCCTGAAAGCGAGGAGATCGACATTAAATATCATTCGTCTGTTGTTCTGTCCGTCCGTCACAAAAACTTTAACCTTGGTGATATCTTTTGATTGAGAAGAGATAGGGCTTTCATACAGCTGTATTACACACGTATATTATCTGCGACAAGAACAGTCTAAATACACTATGGTTTTGGCCCCGTGACCTTGACCTTGAAGTTGACCTACTTTTCAAATAATTAACATTTAGATGAGAAGAGATAGGGCTTTCATATTAAAATGTGTATTACCTTTGACAAGATCTTTCCAAATACACTATGATTTTTTTACCTCGTTACCTTGACCCTGAAGTTTTACCTTCTTTTTAAAAAAAATTAACCTTGGCAATGTCTTTAAAATGAGAAGCCATATGGTTTTCATATTAACCCTTGTGACAACCCCTTTCTAAATACACGTATTTTTTTATCTTGTGACCTTGACCTTGAAGTTTGACCTTCTTTTCAAAAATTTTAATTTTTTCCATACATCTTATGATTGAGAAGAGATAGGGCTTTCATATTTGACATGTGTATTACATGTGACAAGATATTTCCAAACATGCTATGATTTCTGACCCCTTGACCTTCACGATTGACTCAAATTTAAAAAAAAAACGAATTCGGTGATAACTTCTGAATGAAATATGCTAGGGCGTTCATATTTGACACAATATGCCATAAAAATGATATCTCAACCACAATGACACGGAAAGCGGCAGACCACAATTCTTTGAATTTGCTTGTTAATCCTATGAACAAAATGGTTAATAGTTATTTTGAGATGCTGATATCGGTACTGTAGTCTGTATTAATCTGTCTGTACCTTTATGAAGATGATATATCATTTATACCTTATTCTTAAAAAAAAAATGTCCCACCTTTTATTGAGCACGTTTATATAATAAAACCATAACATTTTATTGCAATATGAGCATACCTCTCTCTACTATACAAATATAACCCTCTGGCGAAATTGTTTTACAGATATAACTATAATATAAGATATTATGACGGGAAACATAATTATACTGTCTTGATCGAGCACGAAGTACGAGGTCAATATGCTTTTCTGTGAAGATGATTTGTCTGTAGGTTGGGAAATCAGGAGGCTGCATTTGTTGGATTATATCTTTTAAACAAATAAGAGACAAACATACTCGTTATGGTGGAACTTGTATAATGTCATGATATTCGCCTTCAATGTCTGACATATATATGTATAATGTAAACCCATCGTTGGATTTTATCAGATTTAATTTCAAGAAATTCAAGTCAATCAAGTAAATACATGAAGTTCATGACTGAGTTATGCAGAAAAAAAAATGATATTTAATATTTATATACTCACGGAACAGATAAAACGATATAAATTTTATGATTTGTTTAAATTGGAAAATGTACCTCATTCGAAGTCACGAAAAACAAAAGCATAAATTAATACTTTGGGAGAGGGATTTCATCAAAATTTAAAGATTTTTTTTTACATTCGCAAATGTTTCCTTTACATATAATTTTTCAAGATTCAATCAGTAAAGAATTTAATTTTATCAATATTAATATCAATATTAATGAAGAAGGAGTGCCACATATTGGACCGACATTTCGATGGGTCCATCTACTGATAAATTGTATGAGTTTATGGGGTAAACACCTACACGGTAAATTGGATAAGTTTGACCTGAATTTTAATGCCTTTCAAAGTGTTTGACAGTTTAAATATCCATTGAAGCTACCCTGTTTATTTGGATTTATGGATGTTCGTTTACATGAGAAATGATGCGGCACGATCATCGAACGCGACATTTCTTACAAAATTTAACACATTGTCAAGGACGTAAAAGAACAAACGTCCAGTTACAAAGACTTTAACGTTCTTGTTTTGGAGACTTATGGACAAAACGAAAGTGATTTTATCTGTACGTAAACAAAGCAAAATTTGGAACACAACAATGAATTGTCAACAAATCAGAAGCAATAATTAAAATATGTGTACAAAAAGGACATTTAAACCAAACGGGGCTCTGGGGGTTTAAAAAATTATATTACTATTAAAGGATGGCTTTTCCTTGCAGAAACAGGCTATTTTGGAGAGAAGAAAATACAGTTAAAAGAGTCAGCGAATTGTAAAAGATTTCAGACGGGAAATGTGCTGGGAGCCGAAAAAGGGGCTGTTTCTGTCGGCGATACTTTTGATTTATCCTTTGCAGATAAACTGTTTTTTTAATTTTGATATTTTTCTGAAGGAGGGAAAGTGAGTATTCTTATAATATTTATTTCATACTTATATACGATAAAGGTAATATTAATGACAAAAATTATTCATTAAAAACATTTCGAGTTTTGAAATATATTCGCGTACAATCTACGTACTGAGTTACGACATTCCCAGCCTGATTAAGGAACAAATGCTGATTCTGAGCAGTTTTATAATTACCGGGTATGTAGACTTCACCATCTGAGAGGTTACGCCCCTGATAGAATGATTAGGCTGTCCGTGTAACAATTATGTTTCATCCGAATTTGACCAAGTTAGCGTTACGTGCTTTGAAGTTAGCATGTTTTAATATTTTAAAAATTACTTCAAATTTCGGAAACTTACTTTCCAAAAGTTTTAGATCTTTTTAAATCAAAATTCTAGATTCTAACAATCGATTTCTATTAGAAAATAAAATTATATAAAAAAACAGAACAAAACAAAAACAAAAAAACAACACTTTTTTAAATATTTTACTTCAAATATCCAAAATATAATTTCCAATGACGATTGGAATATTAAGACTATGTCTGAATCATTTCAATATTCTGAATGTCTAATATCTCTTTGCTTGTCATAGAGCGTTTTTGACATACCGGTAGTTTTAAAATTCAAACCGGGTTTAGGATTTAATAAAATTATGGATATTTGAAGTAAAAATCTAAAATCTTAAAATGTAAAGTTTGTTTTGGTTATTTAGAATTTGATTGTTTGAATAAAAAATTCTTAATTTCTAAAAATCTAGAATGTTATTAAAGTTAGAGTTAGTAAGATCTAGACGTTTTAAGTAAGTTTTAAAATATCAAATGCGAAAATTGGCACTGCACTTTAGACTGTTACATGTATGCGTTAACTCCCTTAACAAACGATAGATCAAAATCTCATAACGCAGTACAGCTAAGGTGCGCAATGGAAATATCGACTAAATTTGGATTTAAAAATGTATTCGTAATCGGGATGGCGATGATTTTTAGTACTTATTTATATCGGATAATTGTAATTATGATTAATAACTACATATGGAGGACGATTATATTTTATATTTAGACTAGTCACGTGATGCGGCAGTCACGCGATTTTAGCACATTGACTTGCAGTATTGATGTTACATATAAATATCACTAGTGCAATGGCATAACCAAGTTCATTTTCCAAGTTTAGTATATAAATATTTTCAACACACATTGTAGTTTCTAAAAAATGCTGGGATCCTGTCTAAATTCTGCAATTTCACTGTTAAAATTATACCTGTATGACCGAATGCTATATTTTTTGCTGGTCAGCGGCATGAAATATTGATATAATTAAATTGTTTTTAGGATTTCATCAGGATCGCAGCACTTTTCAGATACCTTAATAGTTCTAGAGTTGAAATGTAAAAGCTTACTTTTATCCATAGAGTGTATGCCCTTGCACTAGATCGATTTATTAAGACCCCCCATATTACCCTCCAATGTACTTGCATACAAATATACGGCAGTGTCAATTAAATACGCAACGTACAGAAAATATATTAATAAAATAGAGAAGGAGACATTAAATTCAAGTTATTGGCCCATAGAATATCTGTAAATAATATTTTATTTAATTAGAGAATACATATTTTGTTGAGAAAATATTACTTGATCTGTCTCTCACTGCATACAAACTACGTCACAGTGTAAGAAATGACGTCATATTGACAAGTGTATTGCGATCAGTGACTTGTTTATAACTTGTTATGTAGGATTTAACATTCTTTGTGCCGCGGGCCTATTTTGGGCCTATCTTCAAATACTACGTTAAGTGCCGAGGGCCTATTTTGGGCCTACCGTTAGCTCATTTACGTCACAAGTAAAACTGATTATGACGTTACGTCATCATTCCGAGTTTCGCGCCATTTTGGCCTCTTGCTACAGGAAACTATTATTTTGCCTTTCTTCTACTGAAAAAAATATATGTAGGAAGGAATGTTAAACAAGTATATTATTTGTGTTGGTCATTAGAAAATGAAAATAGTACATTCTAATTTAAAATAATACAACTTTGTCAGTATTTTCAATCCTCGTTTAAACGATGCAAACAATCAAAATTCATTGGGAGAAAAAAAATATTCAGCGAATCTTAAAAAAAATGGGAATAACTTACCATTACTCATAAAAACTTAATGTTTAGATCGTGGAAATACTAGTAATGCTATATTTGTAATTTCTAAAAAAAAAAAAAAAAAAAGAAAAAAAAAAAGAAAGAAAAGAAAAAAAAAGAAAAAGAAAATTTAATCTTTAATCGGCATGATATATTATAAAGTTTAATATTGTTACATAAATCCTTGAACGGCTTTTTAACGGACTATGAAAATGTTTTAAAGTTTCATCCTTAGGTCAGGAGCATAACAAAGTAAAAGAGTTTATTTTATATATGTCACATAATTTAAAAAAAGTCCACGAGACAAGGAACTTTACAGAAAAACCTTCAGTTTTGGAATACATGTAGTCATGCAGTGCACGACATCGCCAATTGCCGGAAAGGATCGCTTTCATGTCCTGTCCATTGAACAATTATGGCTCTTTTTTCTGCAAGAAACGACTATGACATAGAACCTCTGCATGTATGTTTATACGTATGTTCCCAACGAATTCTTTCCATTCTGTTTGTTCAAAAGACCAACCAACAGAGATTTAATTTCTTTGCGGCGCGAATTATCAATTCTAATTGCCGGCAGGGGGGGGGGGTTAGCCAGGGTCAGAATTTTTTCGCTGGCTTCTCCTGTTAGATCATAACTCACTATTAAATTAATGAAAGAATTATAGTAGGTATTTACAGTCAAAGGGCAGGAAAGATATTATTATGTCTGTCGAAATTGGGACAAGTACCCCTACCCACCACCCCCGGGCAAATTCCTCTGAGGTCTTGATTTTCTCGAGATCTCAGCTTTACTAAAAGTGGTAGTACTATATTATTTATTTTCTAACAGCTATTCGAGCGATTTTTTTTTTGGTGATGTATTTTTTTAAAATCAATATTTAAAAAAAATAGCATTACTATATTATGAGATAAAATTATAACATAAGCAAATGGCCATGATTTAATTAATAAAATCTGTAGAAAAATAATAAAGTAAGTTTTTTTAATGCACCTAAACGTTTATACCTCTTTATTTGATTGAATCAAATGATCCACAGATTGCATCCGAGTATCCGGTCAAGGGTGAAAAGAGGACGAAAACATACGAAGTAACTTGCGTCTTAGTCGTGTATTTCAGGTTATATTTTTAGGAACACGATTAGAAAAAGAGACAGTATTAAGAGATCAATATAAACGTGTGAACAAATTTAAAAAAAATAATTCATAACAATATAAGTGGTTCAGAGAAAGGAGTGAGTCTGCAAAGGAAGGTGTACTTTTTCTGAGTTTAGTTTGTTTACAGAAAATCTTTATTTTGATATCGGTTGCCAACCCCCACCCCCCACATACACACCCATAAACACTTCTGCAATGTTCTAGGTTTCTTTTTCGGAAAAGTTAACCAAGTTACTCCACCCCATCACACACATACGCAGGAAATAAGATTTCTGAGAACAATTTAGGGGTTTTTTTTTAGGGGGGGGGGGGGTCCGGTCGACATGTAAACCATTTCTACAGGGCGCGTTAGTTGCAGAACTGTAGCTCTCAGAAAAAAATGTTTTGACAGACCGGTATATCAAAATTTGTATTTTCGGAGAGCTACATGCAGTTCTGCATATACGGGCTGGGTACATTTGACATACATGTATTAATTATGCAAGGTCTTTATGTAAGGTCTACGGTAAAAAATATAAACAGAAATGAACGAATGAAGAAGTACGATAGAATTTTCAACGATAAATCAGGAAAACTTATGAATAGTTAATGACATGTATTTATAACTGTGTTTCAATTTTACACTGCATTTGTATATATTATATTTTACTCGTATTCCGTTCATTATTATGCAATACATGTATATATATTTGACCCACAGGTTCTTGACGTACATTAAATTATTTTTCTTATTAAAAAAAATAATAAAACCCACCTACCTAATCTACTGAAATATATTATTTGTGCATAAATTTTGCTTGTATTGTAAATATATTTTTGAAGGGTCTTGTCGTTTTGTAGAATTTTTTCTTTTAACCATTTTCTGCAAGAAGTGAAAGGCGATAGGGGAGATCCGTCCAATTCTGGACACGGGGTAATTCCGGACAATATAATACAGTCTTTCTCTTTTGTCTTATTTTTCGGTAATTCTGTATGGTTGATTATAAATAAATGAAGTACATTCGGAAAGCGGATGTCGTTGTCTTTTTTAAAAACATTATAATGATTCTAACGTTAGGGTATCCTGAATGCTATTATTACGTCAAAAGTTAGACTTTTGACTTTTACGTTTCAAATACCTTGGAATTTTTTGGAATTTTGTAAGTTTAGTTTTTTAAAACCAAATTATTAATTTTCAATTAATATACGAAATCAGTTTGAGTTTTAGAAATTTTAACTAATGTATTAAATTCTAATTTCTGGTCGTCTTAAGCTAAAAAGTTAGAACAAAAGAGGAGAGAGTCTCCCAAGTTAGGATAGCTTTATATGTTTATTCAGGGAAAGCATCGTTTCATAGGCCTCACTTAAGATTTAGATATTTCGGCTATGTCCTAGGCCCTCATAAGCATGAATGCATGCTTATAATTGTTAAATTTTAAAGTACACGTAATACACCCCTTAACAATGTAAACAGACATATTGTTGGGAGAAAGATTGCGTCTATTTGACTGCCATTTAAAAAACGAGAGAAAATATTCAAAGCATATTTTGCTGAACAACAATTATTTGAGCTTTTTAATAAGATTTATTTGTCCTCCTTATTACTTAACTTATTTACTTAATAAATAAATAAGTAAAATTAATTAAAGTTCCCAACTTACACAGTGCTGTTCATGCCGCATTATTTAAAATAAAATTCAATGTTTTCCTTTTCGACGGATAATTTTTTTTTCAACAATTTCAGTCGCTTTTTTTAAATGTACAGACAACCATGGATAAAAATGTTACCTCTTTGCATGTCCAGTAGTGTTAGAGGGTTTGTTCCCATCTCGCCTTAATTGTAAAATTTAGCATTCCCATTTCGCCTTAGTAAGCTCTCAATTGAATTAAGGTGATGAAGATTTAATATATTTAGCATAAAGTATTTTTTGGTATTACATGTGTTATTTCATTCACAGTATTTATAAATTCCCATTAATTTTTAAATTCAATCTAAAAGTTTTTATCATTTAATTTTTATATCAACCTAGTAATAATATTTACAAATACTAAAATTCCCATTTCGCCTTAGTACGTTTTAACTTTTTCTTACCTGTATTTCACAATTAAGGCGAAATAGGAACACACCGTGTTAGAGCGTTGTAAACCATCTCACAAAACAAGAGCAAAGGCTTTATTTGATCAGCAATAATCATTCTGACGTATTTGATGCACTCCTGACCAGGAGCATGAAAGAAAAATTGGAAAGTAAAAGTTAACCAGTACTTGTTCTTTTGTTTCAATCAGTGGAGTTGCGCTGTAATTACTCTTAATTTTCTAACAATTTTCTAGAGTGTTAGTTTAAATTCATAATAAATTTAAAGAAAAGATAAAAGATTAAAAACACATCTGAATTGATAAAATTGAAAAAAAAGAAGGGGTTTGATAATAAAACTATCAATAATTAAGTACTAAATAAAATATCATTTTAAATTTAGGTATATTTCTCGGAATAAGTAGAAGTTAATTTTTTTTCATCATGAAATTTGAATCTTAAGCCATCTTTCACACATAGTCGCCGTGTTACAACGCACTATGAAAAATTATGCACTTTGAAAAAAATTTTCAAAGTGGGTTAAAATTGGGACCAAATTAACGCACTTTGAAAAAATAAAATTTCTTTTCAAAGTGCGTTAATATCGTAACATCATATTAACGGAGATGACTGTGCTAGGATGGCACCTCGGGTTCACGGAGTTCTCACTGCGCTGGCTGCGTTCGCAATACGCTCACAATGCGTTCTTCACCCATAGATATATATTCATAAGGAGTGTAACGCATATTTTTACCTACCTCCGTGTGACCTCATCAGCCTACTCACATAACAAAAAATCAGCTCAATGTCTGCAAGTCATGCAAGTGTTTTAAAACAAAGAACGATAAAACTTATTTATTGTTTTCGGCGACAAAGTTTTTTAAGTATCTTTTTGCTGGGGATAAAATCTTAATATTTGTTCATTAATTTCTCGATCTTAGATATATGGTAAAAACAACACTACAACATTCTTTTGATCTCGTCCCTGGTATCCGCCCTTGGTGGTCTCTGCCCGCGCCCTGCAGGCTCGGACCGGGCTATTCAGGGTCGAGATCAAAACAACAGTGATGCTATATCATATTTCTCTTCTGTTTTCTTTATTTTAGCGCTAATGTTTGTAAGAAAACTTGGACAGAAAAGGAGAAGTATACAGTGAAATGTAGTTTCTGGAGTTGGGGCCGGTGTACCAAATACAGGTCTCTCTCTCTCTCTCTCTCTCTCTCTCTCTCTCTCTCTCTCTCACACACACACACACACACACATTGTAAACAGAATTTCAAGTTTTAACACCATAGTTTGGTTAAAGTAACAAAGGCATCGGAAGCGGGGGGGGGGGGGGCTTAGCCCCCCAACTTTTTTGTAAAGATAGACTTAGTATAGGCATTGAACATTGCGGCGTAGGTTTACCCCCCCCCCCCCCCACACACACACACACTCACTTTCCACAGACACCTTGCAGTATAGGTTATAAATGGGGAAAGTGGTTGGAAAAAAATTGGTACAACAAAAATTTCTCTTACTGTTTCTTTTGAAGACTTGCCTTTTTTAAATTCGGCCTCTTCAACAAACTCAAGACATGTATATTTCAGATGATTTTGGCCATTTTTCATGTTTTAGGTGGAAAAGGCAACGTTAACATTGCGAGGATGTAAAACTCAGTACTGCTGTCAAGAAATATTGAACAGATTTTTATCTTTCTGTGCAATAACTGGAATTTTCAAATAATTTAATAAATTTGAACAAGGTTGGATAAATCTCAGATTTCCATTAACAAGTATGCATAATTGCATTACTCTTTTTTTTAACTAGAACAGGATGTATTCATCTGTACCAAAATCAAAAGAAGGGAGAGGGCTAAAATAGGATTTGCCTGCTGCCCAACCCATAGGCGTCGGAATCGGGGGGGGGGGGGGGGGGGGTCATTGAACATCGCGGCGTAGGTTTAACCCCCCCCCCCCTTCCCCAGACACGTCGCAGTATAGGTTAAAAATGGGGAAAGTGGTAGTGTTTGGGAAAAAATAATATAAAACAAATTCTCTTACACTTAGCCCCCCCCCCCTTTTCATTTTGCTTCCGACGCCAATGCGTAGCATAATTTTTTATTCATCTATTATATTATAAGGAATGTAAGTTTCATTAAACCGGATCACTTACTCTTATTTTGTCTTGAAAAAAAGCTTTATGAAAAAGATTTACATTAATTGATAAAAGAATTTTCATTATTAAATTTTGTTATTTTAGAACCGTTGATAAATTTGAACTGTACTGTTGTCCTGGATACAGAAGCCAACCAGATGATTATACATCCTGCAAATACGGTATCAGATTTCATACTTGAATCGTTTAATTTGATGCCATAAAACTCGAAAATATCTGTCATTCCTATGAATTACCAGAGTGAATATTTCTATAATTATATAATTTAAATAGTTCATCACATTCATTCGTTAATAATTTAATTTAAGTAGTAACACTCCATTTGATTGGACAAAAAATTGAGTGAATAACATAAGTTGCTCACGTCACAGTGAGTTACGTAAAAATAACGCCAATTGAACAAGGCGTTTTTACACCTGGCTAAAACACGTTCGTCATGTGACCAACCCGTTTTACATCCCAGTTAAACTCAAAAAATGATAACTATTTCTTTTTTTAAACAAAAACGTATTACTCCGCTTGACGTTACTTTTAAAATTAGCTGCAGATCTGTAGCTCTCCGAAAAAATAATTTAACAGACCCGAGATAAGAATGTGGAAGAATTAATCCATACACAAGCGCAACTTCTTGTGCGCAATAAATATATAATTTTTTTCAATGGGTGGCACTGTAGCTCTCCGGTATCAATATATTTTTCGGAGAGCTACTGTTTTGCAGCTATATTAAAATATATGCTTAATTTGAAGTCATTTTTGGAGGGAAAATTTTCTTACTGTCTACACCTAAATTAAATCATAATATAATATGGATTCAAAGCCACTAGAAGGTGCAGAAGTAGGACAATTTTCCCAAATTGCATCATTCTGATTGAAAGATACCCCAAATCAGGGGCCAGATAGGGTCTTTGTCTATCGTCCTTTTTTGTCAAGTATATGTATATATCTTTAGTTTCCACACACAAAGCTTTTATAAAAAAAAAATCAATACAAAAAATGGGGATCAATATGCTACAGTGTATAAATTACCTAGCTTTATGCACTGAAATTTGTGTCTTAATAAAAAAAAATTGTATCTTCGACGTTTCCCTTGAATCCAAATAAATCCTTGGACAACATAAACTATGAGTCTATGATGCATAATCAATCATTTGGCCTTTCTGTACTCACAAAATGTGATTTTGTTTTTTCTGGCTTTGAAAATTTAACAAGCAAGAATCATTTTAAACGTTTGCTGAATTTAAGAAGATTCATCAGTGTTATATGTTATATATTCGGAAAAGAAAGATTTTCTTACTGCAAAAACTTAAAAGCTTGATCTTAAAATATCGCTCGAAAATGATTTTTTTTACACACAGACAGAATGCATGAGTTGACGACCTTGCCCTTTGACCTCAAAATAAATACGGGTCTACCGTATCCATATGGAATTGTATAAAATGTCACTGCAAAAGTTCAAAGACTTCTCGAGGAAACTAAAGTTTTAAAACAAAATTTATGAATTCATGAGCTTGACCTTTGAACTTTTCACCTTAAAATCAATATAGATTTTTCTTAGGCTTACGGGAGTTGTTGTGAAAAAAAAGAACTTAAAATGTTCGTCTATTGATTTATTCCTTCATTCTTTTTTTTACAGCAATTTGTGATGAAAAAACAGATTACGATGGGACCGCCTGCACATTGCGTTACTCTGATGATGGAATTTTGAAGCGGAACCACCCATTGGTGCGTGACAGTGGGGGGTCGTGCTCCTCCCCGGAGAAGTGTACAAGTTGTAATGATGGCTTCTATGGAGACGGACCTTATTGTAAAAGTAAGAGGCATTTAAAGATTGTAAAAATGTGTGTAATTATGACATTATGTGATATTTCTACCCAAATTAAATGAAATAAACTGAATACAAAAGGAGAATTATAGAATATAAATAAAAAATATACAAGTAGGCTAGATCTATACAAATAGAAATTTTACAATGCAAATGCTGATATGGAAAATAATTGAGAAAAAAATTGTAAATAGAAAAGATTCAGAAAATTTTATTTAGAGTCGGATTTTTACAAGTAACATAAGCTCTGTAGAGCTTTTGATCGACATAAAAGTTGTAATGATATTGGATATTGCAAGGTGTGACATGCCATGATTTTGACTCTTTTGGAACTTTTTCAAGCGCTTGTTTTACGAAAATAAATCGGGTTCGATATACCGATTCCGGTATGTTGTCGGCTGCGCCGAGAAGAAGACGAAGAGTTTGGCTGAAAGTTATTTTAGTTACAAAGTCAAAGTATGGTTGAACCTGTAAGAGAAGATGATTGTTTCTAAATCAATCCATTTTATATTTTCAGTTTTTAAAATTTTATTGAATCAGAAATTCTCATTATTCTGATTGTTACATTTTATATGCTGTTTATGCTATCCAGTAGGTTGTGAGCACTCGTCCAATAGTCCGTTTAGGAGCATATAATTAAAATAGGTTGAATCAGTGAATGGTTGTGAAACCTATGCCTAAATGATTTGGTTGATTTTTTTCCATTTCAGTTTGTCCTCCTATTGCAAATTGCAACCACCGCCGCTGTTCCTCCACGGGGGATAACATCTGTGTTTACTGTGAGGGGGAGGTGCTGGAGAGGGATTATTACAGAGCTTACACACCAGTCCCCAGTCAGAAAAAGAAATGTGAAAGTAAGATAAATATTGGAATGCCTGGTGGCTTTATTTTAAAAGAAAACTTCTACTGCAGTTTTAATACACTGTACTTTGTGTAGCTGATAAAATTCCTATGTCTGCTTATAGATATTATGAAAGTAAATTTTGTCATTGTGCAAGGTACACAATGATATATGAATATCTTGGTAAGAGTAGTTGAGGAATACATTAAAGCATGAAAAAAAAATAACTAGGAGACTTATTGTTCCAAGAACAATAAGAGGTCTTTCCACCTTCTTTGAATTTCAATTTTGTTTTAAAATTTAATTCCATGAATAAGAAACCAAAATTGTCTTAAAGGAAAGCAAAAATTAAAAATAAAAAAAAAATGAAAAGACCTTGACCTTTGACCTTGAAAATATTCAAGGTCAAAGGTCAAGGGTCACAATGCAATTGACCCCATGCTTCTACGACTTATAGTTTTCAAGTTATAAGGTTAAATAGGAAGTACAAAAAAGTTAAAGGGCATTAACTCATATAAGCGGTCATCAGATCCTTTTGCACTTATATAGTGAAGTTAGGCCTTAAGATCCTTAAGACATTAGTGAAGGTTTAGTGTCTATACGGTCTACGGTTTCGGAGAAGTAGCGATAACAAGGTTTCTTGCACAAGGGGCAATAACTTTTTAAAGGGTTAATCTTTGGGGACAAGAATAAAATATTTGAAAGAGTTTTAAGAATGCATATTAATGATGCAAAGACATAAAGTATATATTGAAAGACAAAAGAGATATAGAAAACGCTTAATTTCTCATTTTCTGAATGACCTTGACCTTTGACCTTTGCATGAAATTTTAGATCAAAGGTCAATGAATCTTATGCAGTTGGTCCCATGTCTCTACAACTTCTCGTTTTAAAAAAAATTTATTTATTGTAAAATTCAAAAAGTTTCAAGGGCAATTACTCATTGCCGGGGTCACCGAATGCTTTCGCAATGAATAGATTGAAGAGTCCCCTTAATTAGTTGAAGACATTGGTGAAGGTTTCATACCTCTACGGTTTACGGTTTCGGAGGAGTAGCGATAACAAGCATTTCTTGCGTAAAGGGCAATAACTTCGAAAGGGGTCAAAGTTCAAACAAGGGCTGTCGTTTTTCAGAATAACTTTTGATATCCAGTTTAATGAACTATAAAGTTTTTCGATAAGTCTTGCGGTTTCAAAAGTCCGGGAAGAAAAAGAAGAAGAACTAGGAGACTTATTGTTCAAAGAACAATAAGAGGTCTTTCCAGCTTTTTAAGTGTTTCCGTGTCATTTGGGTTGAAAAAAAGAAGAAAAACGCCAATAAAAAAAAAAAAAAAAATTAAAAAGTGCTGCCAGCAGGATTCGAACTGTGGACCCTCAGATTGCAAGGCGAACGCTCTATGCACTACGCCACAGGCTCTGATGAAGTTGGTTTCCGTAAACTTACAGTGTAGAAAAAAATAAGAAATGAAAACACGTGGATTTAAATAAAAATAGAAACGCGTGAAGTTTTAAATAGTACAGAAACACGTGTATTTATTTGTTTGTGATGGAACATAGGGAGGAATAATGAATAGTTTTAAGAGAAACGATTGGTGGATATTGAAACTAGAGATTTCCTGTAAAAAAAAAAAAACATTCGAGTTTGTTTATAGTTTGAATAGATTGAGTTAATCATACAGAGCTTAAGATACATTCGAACTTCCGTGTCGGCACTGTGTTTACAATTTGTGAAAATATAGGCGCGTTTGTTTTGACAGATATGGTGAACTCATAGGTTAGATTAAATAATCATCTCTATTTGGATTGAATTAATAGTTATGAGCATAAATTAAACTTGAAACATGCATTTCATGAAGAAAACGGTGTCAGCGAGAGCGTGGAAATTTATTTGATAGGAAAAATCCCTATTTTCGAGATTCATCCGATTAATATGAAATCTAAATAAATTTCAAATAAATTCCACATTCTAAAGAGAGCAAGAATACTTGGTATTAAAATGTCGTATTAGAGCAGGAGAATCAAATGCTATTAACAAAAACTGAAGAAATAGCCAAGGCAAGCTTTAATTATTTTTATGCTCATCAGCACTTAAATTTTAGACAGAAAAAAAAAATGTAGTTTTCGCCGATATTGAATAGAATTTCATTATACTTAAGAGACTCACCGTAAAACTCTCAGGACACTTTCTTTGAAGTATCTTCTACATTTTAATCTGAATTTCATGTCGATGTGTGATCTCCTTTAAGCTGTACAAAATTTGTTTACGTCACTATTGATTTTTTTTTTGAGAAAGAAGGGGGGGGGGGCGGATATAGGCATTTGTTTAAGAGAGAGTTGTAAATACCTCCAAGACCTTAAGCTTGATTGTGACCTTTGGGTCAATGGGGTCAAAGGTCAAGGTCATTCATCAAGGTAAAAGGTCAAGGTCATCAAAAAAAAAAAACCCACTTACAGACTTGAGTTTTACACTTGAAGCTGAATCTAGGTAAAGGTTATGAATACATGTATACCTTTTTAACTTTTGAGAAAAGGTCAAGGTCTAAGGTCAAGGTCAAATATCAAGGTCAAAGGTCAAGGTCATTTTATTAAAAACCCGTAAATAAGCAATTTTGATACTTCCCAATGACCTTGACCTTTGACCTTGACCTAATATTCAAGGTCAAAGGTCAAAAGATCTGATGCAGTTGGACCCATGTCTTTACGACTTGTCGTTAAGAAGTTTTTAGTTCTTCGTAAACATCATAAACTTGCAGGGGCAATAACTACTTAAAACGGTTTACGAATTCTTTTGCACTAATAGAATGAGAAGTGTACTAAATTAGTCGCAGACATTGTTGAAGGTTTTGTACCTCTACGGTTTACGGTTTCAGAGGAGTAGCGATAACAAGGGTTTACACTGAAAGGGGCACTAACTTTTAGAGGGTTCAGTCTTAGGGGACAAGCATGGAATCTCTGAAATGGGTTTAAGAGTACATACTAAAAATACAAAGATGTTTAGAATTTGGTTAAGAACAAAAGAGCTATAAAAAATGCTTAATTTTACATATTTTGAATGACCTTGACCTTTGACCTTGACCTAGATTTTAAGGTCAAAGGTCAACAAATCTTTTGCAGTTGGTCCCATGTCTCTACGCCTTGTCGTTTAAGAAAAGATCTTGATATTCGTAAACGTTGCAAACATTCAGGGGCAATAATTCAATATAGGAGTTTACGAATCCTTTCGCAATGTTTGATTGGAGAGTCTACTAAATCAGTCGTAAACATTAATAAAGGTTTGGAATCTCTGCGGTTTATGGTTTTGGAGGAGTAGCGATAACAAGCTTTTATTGCGAAAGGGGTCGTAACTCCGAAAGGGGTCAAAGCTCATATACGCAGGGTCAACTGCTAAAATCTTTTACGGAGTACATTCTTGTCGACTAAAAATCTTTTCGATAAATCTTGAAACTCAAAATCACACGGCGGAAAAATAATAAAAAAGAAAAAAAAAACAGAAGAAAATCAATAGGTCTTTCCAGAGAAAGCTGGAAAGACCTAATAATAATAAACATAAGCATTTCAAGAGGTCTTTCCACAGGAAGGTGGAAAGACCTAATTAATGCATGAAAAGTCTTTGAATTAAAAATATTCTGTGCTGGTCTCTTTGCACATTAAAAGATACATGGAAGTTTATTTCTCAATTTAGCTTTAAAAAACTATATAAACAAGTTAAATTGTCAGTGATTGATCCTTGATATCACTTTTTAAAGATTTATTCACTGTATGTTGAAATTGTAATATTCTTTTTTTCTGCACAATTAGCAAATACCTTGGTAGAAACTTCACAATTTAATTTCCTACTGACTGTAAAGTATATAGAATAAGTTGTTGTTTATTTCAGAGGCCTGTTCCTGGAGATCAGATAGTACGAGGTGTTACCCAGGGACCTGTACTGATGGTCTGGCCTCCAAGTGTCAATGTTCCCCAGGCTTTGAGGGACAACACTGCGAAAAAAGTAGGCTATCAGCTTATTACAGTAAATGGTTACAGTCAGCACATTAAGTTAAAATGAATTAAGACATAATGAAGAAAAACTCAGAGATAAAGGCAAGCATAAATTACCATTGACTTTTAAGCATTTCTTATTCAGTTGTAACAGAGGCCTCAATCATGGAGAATGAGTGTAAATTAGAAGATCCGACAGGGAGTATCTTGGCAAACCCTGCCGATTTGAACGAGGGTCCTCCCCAGCCCACCCGCTGGACCAACAACGTAATCTGGATCAGAGCAGTCACAAAATGGGACGCCCTGTTACAGCTCCCAGCAGCACCTCCAGACATCTCTGGATTAGATCATTACGTCACCGACTTTAGATATGGAATTAAATTCGCATCTACTAAATTACGTCAATATAGGGGTAAGATTTTGTTGAGATTAATGCAAAGTTTTGAAAACTTAGTGATATTTTATTCAGGGTGTCTAAGAAATTTGTAATGTAGAGAATTTCTGACTCAATTAAATTTTCATAAAAAAATATCATAAAATTTGGAATTCAATCAATTTCATTTGCAGGGGGAAGTAAAATAGCTGAGCTGATTCACATTTGTGAGGGTGTGTCAGAAAGAGCTCCAAAAACTTCATCCTTTTCCTGTAAGAAAACATTTGACGATCTAGGACGCTCACTGCAGGGTTTAAAACACAATGATCAGTATGTTTAAGTTTTGTACTTTCATTCACAAGTTACTAGAAATATAGATTTCTTTATTCTTAGATTTCATATTTTAGCAACAATGGTGTATTCCTTTGTGTACTTAGACCTATAATTGAGATATATTGAATTGAAAATTGTTTATTAATGTAGGACGTACATTAAAAGAACTGCTTTTGAAAATATTTATATAAATAGTATTAGTAGACACACAGTACATACCAGATACTAAAACTAACTTTTAAAGATTAGAGATGAAATATTGTATATGGGAATTAAATGTACTTTTTATGCATTTGTCTTAATGCAAGTCACATGGATATGTTAGGTCAAAGCTATTTTTTTTTTTAAAAATTTTAAAGCTTGTTCTTTTCTCAACACATTATGATAATAGAAAATATCATATATGGGGTTATTTCTCGAATTATTGCCGTTTAATTCATCATCTCGAGTCTCACTATAATGCCATGTTTTTAAGGTCATCTGGTCACTCAGACTACGTTTTGCTGTCAGTTTTTTTCCTTTGCCTTGCATTGTGTGTACCGGGTATATATTTCAACATTTTCAGTTTCTTCTCTGAATTGATCAACCAATTTTGGCATAGATTACTGGGAGTATTTATGACTGTGGGGGAGCAAAAATGTTGAATTTCATGATCTCCCTCCCCTAACAATCAAAATGAGTGCAATTGTCAAAAATCTTCTTTTACTCTTGACACCAAGTAGTCAAACTCTTGACCTGATTGTAATGAGCAAAGAGCTCTCTACAAAAATTATACAATTCTTATTCATGGCCCCAGGATCAGGGGTTCTCAAGTTAGGGTGTGGCTCTTAAAATTATATATTGAAAATGCTTAAATTCTTTTAAAATCCTACCTCCCCAGTTATTAAGCAGATAAACTAGGTACATGGGTACAGTGATCAAAGGTGTCTTTTCCAGCATTGTGAAATTAGTGGACCCAGGGTTGGTGGGGGGGGGGGGGTCAGTGTGCAGGATGGGGGCTCTCTTGACTATATAATTTATATTATCTAAAGTGCATTTATTATTTCTTTTAAAATCTTCTCTGCTCTTAGGTCTTTGGCAGATAAACCAAGTTTATTGTACTGATGTTTAGTTCACATTGGGATATAGTCACAAATGAGAGAAAGTACAGGCAAATGAATAGAGCAACTTTAAGATTTGTTACTGAGTACTGTTAAATTAATATTTTGTCCAATAATAATCTATGAACCTTAAACTTTTAACCATCAGTACACGCAGATTATAAAATAATAATGTGTCTAAACTTTTACAGGTTAATATTCTATCTCCAAGCCACAACAGGAGGTTACGTAAAAGTGAAAAACCGAGAGGCCAATAATAGGATAGAATACCATCCCTTAGTGGGCAAGACAACAGAAAGAGAGTTCAAATACCACTGGGACTTGGAGAAGCCTTATCATAATTTAGTTAAAGGTGTTGATAATCCACCATTCCTAAGTGTTCCAGATTTAACAGAAAATGTGAGTGGTGCACTTGCTTATATGTATATGTATCAGATTTTATTTAAAATATAACTTCTGTACCACTGACTTCAGCCATCTGCAGTGGTTGTAAAGTAAGACAACACAGTTTGATTGTTGTATAATTTTTTTTCAGCCAACAGTTGACATGACCTGGGGAGGCTGGTTAGATGATTTGTCAGGGCTAGAGAAGTACCAGTATGAAGTGTATGAGCTAGGGCATGATGGGAAACTGTTAGGAGAGCAGCAGGGAAAGATGATCAAAATGCCAATGGATATAGCACTTAATGATACAGGGGTAAGGGCATATTGACTGTGTATCAAACCAATAAATTCAATAAAATACAAAATTTATACCCTGCCCAAGCTAGAAAAGTGATTGAATGTATGTACGTTTGTCATACTTAGGGGTAGCCATTTCTTATCTTCAGTTCCTCCTTTACCAGCCAATAAAAATTAAGGATACCTTTACAGTCAAATCAGTACCTAATCCTGTAATGACCTTCAGGGTTCAAAACCAAGTCTGGCAAACACTTCTCCCTGCCTTTTTATTTGCACCCAACAACAAAGTCTAATAGTAGTTATGAGAAGTCTCACTGGTAAGATAATTTGGACAGATAACACCCTTTGTATGGCTATCCTAATTCCCCCCCCCCCCCAGGGAGATATGTGCGGTTTTGAAGTTTATTGTGGCGTCGAGTGAAGCTCGAGCATCATCTAGTGATCGGTCAGATTTACACGACCGAATGTGTCAGTGGATGTATCTGCAATAGAAAATAGCAACAGCTGTAAACCAATTTCTTTGAAAACGCTCACAATGAATAATAGCTTGAAAATAAAATTACAACAATTGTTTCTTCAATGAATTCTACTACAAAACAATGATATTATGTCTAATTTTCACGCAAGAAAAACGTTATGGTTGTTGCGGATGAATTTTTACAGAGAGGGTGCATTGAATGACATGAATAACAATTTGGGACTGATTACCAACCTTCAAGATGGTAAAATAATTACAAAATAAACACGAATACTAGGGGACTATAAAGATTGAATTTCCTAATCTTAGCTTTACTTTTACAATCTTCAATCCAAAGTTATGTGAACAACCGATGATATTAACCAGTATTACAGTATTTATCCATTTCCTCCATTTGTTTACTGCTACCTATCGTAACTCAATCGTACTTGTAACAGTAGAGTCAAAGTTGTAGTTTAGATGCAATCACTACACTGCAGAACAACACTCTAACATTGGCATTTAGATAGAATATATATAAATTTTTGAAACCCCTCATAGTTCTTCGATTGACTGAAAAGAAATTAGTTTGATGTTGAGCATAAACATGTCTGACGGTGTGTGGTCAATTCGAACCATGCTTCATTCGGACCTGCAGGAGATTGGGTAAGGCCCAAGACTGTATTTGTGTTAAAACTACTTTTTATATTGTTATTATGTTACCGGAGTCACTCTCTTGACCTATTTCTATCTTCAGATCTTTTGAAATAATATTGTTTTTCTTGTTTGACGCCATTGAAGCTTTTCAGGCTTTTGATTTAAATTATATTTCAGGAATCCTTTGACTTGCCAGCACCAGGGATGTACTCTATTCATTTCTCAGCATTTGACAAAGCAGGAAACCACAAAACTGGAAGAAAAGTCCTACTCTATGACAACATTTCTAAGGTTACCACCAACCCTACAAAGGTCACAAGGGTCACCACAGCTACCATGGAAACAAATTATGTATGGGTTACCAAGGATACCAGTTATGTGGATGTGATGTGGAAGGACAGATTCCGTAATTATCGCCATGAGGACAAGCGATGGCTTAACAGAGTAGCACCAGCTACAGGAGTGGAATCAAAGTACGATGATCATTATGGAGAAAGACAAAGCAAGGAGATTGCAAATGTTCATGGTATGTTTGTTTCCTCTTTAAGATCTGGTAAACTACAATTATGCCTCATCTTGGTCTACTACTTGTAATTTGGTACACAAAAAAGTATCTGCACAAAAAAACATAATTCTATATGATTGTTTTTAATTTTGGTTAACTATGTTGCTATGGTTACAAAAAATAAAAATTTCTTAAAATTCTTTCAAATCCCTTCTCCTCCAATAACTAATTACACAAGTACACTAAGATACATAATTCTTTTTATTTGTTTTCTAAATTTCGATGAATGTTGTTGCCATGGTTATTTAAAATAAGATGATACTTCTTTGAAATTTTCACAAAATACTTTTCCTAAATAAATACAGTTTTTGTCCTATTGCAATTAAACTTGATTTTAAAAGAACAGACTAAACCAAAGATCATTATTTTTTTTTTATTTGCTATTGCCATATTTTTAGTCTACTAGTATGTGCTACCTTTGTTTATCAATAAAGTAAAAACCAGTAGAGCTACAGTCTTATCAGAAGCTTTTGGTTTGCCATGAACTCGAAGAACAAAAGAAGTTGGTGATGAATAAATTTTACAATGTCCCATATATTGCATTGTTATTCCTTGACATGTCTAATTTACCAGTAAGTTGGAAAAAATGTCTTTCTGCATGTTCATTTTAATTAAATTTAAGATTTTTTGCATTTAGTCTGAATTAGGGATTTTCATATTGTAAATTAAAACATCAGAAAACACTACTGCTATATGAATCTTTTCATTTCCAGCATTGGTGGATTTCAAAGTGGCATATAATGTTACTGATTCAACTAGTACTGTGGACTCCCAAGTTTTTACGTCAGTGTCCTCAATATTTAGACAAGGTGATCAGCTTAATTTACCGTGGACAGATGGTAACAAGTTAGAGGTGACGGTGCGAGCAATAGATGTGCTGGGGAAATATTTGGATGAATCGGTAACTGTTTACAGAGATGCGTCGCCGCCTCACATTGAGGATTTGTGGCTGACACGTGGCGATAGATTGAATGTCAGTGTTCATAGAATCGAAGACTTCAAGGAAATGACGTAAGAATATGTCTCTAGTAATAAATTGGTTTCAGAATTAACTTTAAGATTAAATTCAGACAAAGTTAAAATTTCATTTCTTTGCTAAAACATAAAATTTATTCAATATAAAGTTAAACAAGTTTTTTTTTTTTAATTTGTCAACATTTTAATCTTTAGAATCCTTGTAATACCTGTACTCAGGACTGGGTTTTAAAACACTTTAGTGAACAAAATTTTATTTCTATGAACTTTTCAAAAATATGTTTAAAGGATAGAGTGGATTGCATATGACCATCACAGTGGGCTGAACAACATTGCCTGGAGATTGTTTGATAATGTCACAGGAATAGATGTACTGCATGGGCAGGAGGATATCCCAGCTCAAGGAATGGCCAATGTATGCAGTGCTTGTTTATCTCTTAGAGCCAATTATAAATTCATATGTTTTAAAATGCTTTTAAAAGAAGTAACAACCAACGATCATTGTAAACCACTTATTTGAAACTTACTCATGTAGATAATTGCATGTTCCATTAGTCAATATTAATTTTTGAATGAGAGACTTCTCGTAATTATCTTACATTCTTTTGGCAAGGAAGTGTTAATGAATGAAATGCCTCATATATTTCTCTTGATTTTTTATTTTTAGGACACACAAGATTGTGAATCAAAATATGGAAGCTATGCCAGGGGAGCTAACTGCTATGAGACTCCGTTCTGGGGAGCTTACCACAAACACTTTCAGGTGAAACCAATAATTGCATCAAACGGAGGACTGATAGACGGAAAACATAAAGGTGTGCATGATTCTGATTATTACCTGGAGGTGACCGCCACTAACAAGGCCAAACTGACCACCATACTGTCCAAGAAGGTAGGGCATCTGAGGGAAATATAGGTCAAGGGTCACTCATTCTGATGATAGATAATGCTTATACATGCATGTACAATATTAACTGATTATCATTAAGGTAGTATACAGTGATACTTGTCTATGCTGAATGTTGTGTATTCAAGACTCCTGCCTAAAATGATTTAAATTTTAGATCCATTTCAGTTAATTCATTTGTTAAAATGTTGTCATATCTGGAATTTTGTTCTGAGTTTCTTTAGAACCAAGTGTTATAATGTACTATATTTAATTGGGACTTTGCATTTTCGTTTTTTTTATTCTTTACTGTACTCTGTGCATATTTTGCCTGTAGATAACAATAGACACATCCCCTCCCCACACAGGGGTGGTGGAGGATGGGGTACCAGGAGGGGGTGAGGTGGACTACCAGCAGAGTAAGACCCTGACTGCCCACTGGGAGGGCTTCTTTGACAGGGAGAGTGGGGTTCTTTTCTACCAGTATGGATACGACAACAAAACTCTCACTGCCTCAGAATTTTCTCTGGAGGCTAGTGGAAATGTGAGTAATTCATCCGAACACATGTCTAATCAATTATAACATTTTACATCAGTTGAGGATATATTAAGAAGTCAGTTTGCTTATAATAATGCATCTGTACATGTGTTTTAATTATCTTTTTGCAATGATAAGGACCCAAATCAATGTAATGTATACTCTTTTTTCGATTAATATTTTATACATATGCATCCATTACTTCTGATTAAGAAAATTAAATGGATTTCTCAGGGTCTGATTTTTGAGACCTACTCGATGCATGCCACCCACACTGTAACCACAGAGGGACTGTATTACATCTGTGTTGTGGCCTATAACCGCGCTCTAGAGCCCTCGGAACCTGTGTGTTCAGACGGAGTGACGGTTACTACAGCAGTGCCATCTGTACAGGAAGTGAACATAGAGGGAGCCACAACCACTGGGGGACTCATTACAGACGGGAAAGATTTCTGGATTGTTAGCAGTAACAGATTCCGCAGGCTGATCAAAGATCCCACACCAGACTGCACGTAAGTCAGTCATCAGTAAATAAGATTGCCCGAAGTCAGTCATCAGTAAATAAAATTGCCCGAAGTCAGTCATCAGAAAATAAGATTGCATGTAAGTCAGTCATCAGTAAATATGAGATTTTCCAGTGGAAACTAGTTATATGTGGCTTCTTTTTAAAGTTAAGGGAAAACAGATGTTTATATATAATTAAAAAAATGATTAGGTCATTAATGGCTTATTTTATATAATAAGCCATTGTTTTATATAACTTTTCTTTAAAGTTCAAAAGCTACAGTTTTATCTGACCTTGACCTTTTACCTGCTGAGCACCATGACAACGGTACATTTGTGACAGTAAATGGCAGTGTGTTTTGTGCTAACTCAACAGGATCACCTGCTAAACTGAGTCCTACATTATCTAAATCATCGCGGGTAAGAGGGTCAGATGCATAGTACAA